TGTCTCTTCTGTAAAATGGGAGCAATCCCAACCTTTCACATCTGCTGTAACCAAGTGAAATGAAGTCTAGAGAGCACCGCACACAGGGCCCATTAAAGGAGTAGTTGTGATACCCTTTCTTCTTAAAATGGAAGCCCCAATTCACTCTGGGCAGCACCCAATTCCAGCAATTTGAATTTCCAGCAGCCTGCAGGAGCCTTTGGCGATGTCTAAAAATAGCTGGTTTGAATTCTCCTCGGACAGTTAGGCTCTTTGTGTAATTCCAACACACTCTGATTATAGGTAGCATCTAACAGTTCCCAGCTCACTGCCTTACCTCCTCATCGGCATCTTTAATGCAGTAGAGAGTTTGGCCTAATTACCCAGGGTGGGGGGAGGTTGCTCCTTCAAACCAAGGAGAACTCTTCCACGCCTGCCTTTAAGCCAATGCCTGGTGACATTTACCTCCTCTTTGTGAAACTCCAGAACAAAGAAAGGATAGGACTTCAGAGGCATTTGCAGCTGGTTGCAGGCTGTTCTGGGGCTGCCCCCGGCAAAGAGAGTTGATGAACAGTCTCGGTGCTCAGTTTGTGCCTGTGGAAAGCCCCAGCTGTGGAGGTCATGCACCATCCTGGCTGGCCTCACAATGAAGAGCTGACATTGTCAGAATGTGGGGCATGGGCTTTTGTGGTGCACAGACCCCTACAGTGGGGCCTGATGGGGGTTCTGGGAAATGTGGTTGGCTGGCTGGGAGTCTCTGGGACCCAAGCATGTTAGAATCAGCCACACCTCTTACAGAAAGCGTAGTGGAGAGGCTGGAAACTGGGGTACGATGCCAACAAGAATGAGGTCAAATTCCTGCTCTGTTTCCTACTAACTTTATGACCTGGGGGGAAGACTCAAGGTCTTTACTTGTAAAATTAGGAATATAGTATTGCCTACTTCATGCATTTGAATTATGGAGTTGATGAAGAATATTGAAAGTACCATGGACAAGTCTGTCTTGGAAGAAGTGCATTCTTAGAAGCCAGGATGGCAAGACTTGGTCTCTCATAGTCCAGACATGTTGTCAGAAGGGACCGGTCCCTGGAGATGCACATCATACTTGGTAAAGTGAAGAGTCTGCAAAAAAGAAGACCCATAGTGAGATGGCATGACCCAGTAGCAGTAGCAGCGGGCCCAAGTGTGAGGTTGGCACAGGACCTGGACCTGGCAGGTTTCATTCTGTTGTGCATAGAGTTGCTGTGAGTCAGAACCGACTCAGGCACACCTCACAACCCCATAGATTGTAGGTTCCCTGAGGGTGCACATAGTTTGCACTTGGCTAAGGAGTCCTGGTATGGTGCTGTAGGAGAAGCATTCGACCACAGGGTCGGTTTGACCCCCACCGGCCACTCTTTGGAAACCCTATACAGAGTTGCTATGAGTTGGAACTGACTTGATACCAATTAACTACAACAACACTAACCTTAAGGTTTGGGGTTTGAACCTACCTAGCAGTTCTGCAGGAGAAAGGGCCAGCATTCTGCTTCATAAATATTATAGCCATGAGTCAGCATCGACTTGACAGCATTGGGTCTTGACCTCATATTTTCACCTCACAGTGAGGATGAATCAAAATATAATGTATGTTCTACACTTAGCACTCATGACAGATGGTAAACAGCTGTTACTACTCCCACTATTGTTAGGAAGAGTCAGTCCTCAGTAACTCCTTAGGATGTTCTGTACAAGATCCAGCCACCCTTTGCAGGCTGTGGACAAGCAATAAAGGCTCTGAGAAGTTTTGATGTCTAAGACACTGTTAGGAATGCCACCTCATGGACTTCTGCCACAATGAGGCAAGGCAGATGTAATTATGCCCATTTATAGATGAGGAACCTGAAGCTCAGTGAAGACATCTGCTTTGGGACACACAACTAAGTAAGCTGACTTTCTGAACAGGCTTCTTGCCAGCTCCCAGGCCGCCATGTGTCTGGTCCAAAGAGAGAATCACAACAGTAGCACTGGCCCTTTAAGGGCTCTGAAGCCCTCACCTCATTTTGTATTCAGGGCATTCAGCTGGGCTCCTCTCTAGCTGGGAGAGCCAGGTACTCATTAGCAGATGCTTAAATGTCAAAGGGTGACCCATCTTGGCAGAGCTGGGCTTATAGAGTGTCCATTCCTCCCAATGGTCCCAGAGGTTGCCTAGGGAGGTGCCAGCGTAGGTATTCAATTCCTCCTCCCCCTCCTCTAGGGTTTCAGCCTAAGCACTGAATTCTGGCAAGGAGACAAGTGACCCCAGAGCATCCTCTGTCCCACCCAGTGTCCACCACTCCCAAGGCACACTTAACAGCCACCCAATTTTCACACTGTGCTTTAGAGATAAGGAATCTGAGGCTCCTAGGAAGGAAATATGTCCTTGATCAAACTTCTGGGAAGGGTGGCACTGCCCGTGGGCACTGGGCAAGAAAGCAGCCCATTGTACAGATGAGCACACTGATTCCACAGGGAAGTGGATTCCAGACCCGGGTCAGCAAAGTCAGGACTAAAACTTGCACTTCTAGTCACCTGTTTCCTGGCAAGGGCTTCTCATTTCCACCCTGAGCCTCTGGGTCCAGGGAAGGGCTTTTTGGCATGAGGCCAGGCTGAAGGGTTTCTTCCAGAACCAGAACTGGAAGCAGGAGTCAGAGCTGTCTGGAGACATCTGCTAACATGGTCCTATGAGCAGCATTGACTGGAAGAGGGCATAGGTAGGGCAGGATGCCCAGATGGCAGTGGGCTCAAGGGCCCCAGCACCTTCCATTACGGGAGGGATCTGTGAGAGAATGCAAGGTGGACAGATTTCAGCTCACATGCCTGCAGGCGGACATGCATGCTTCTGTACAAAAGTAGTGTGCAGTGGACACACCCTAGCAACATCCCTGTGTAGGCAGCAGGTGTGCTGGTCCCCAGGCTCTAGAAATCAGTCTCGGCTGGACATCAGCAAGTGGCTATACATTTCCTAACCCTGTCCTTGGCATGGATTGTTCCAGTAGGGAGTTGGCAGCAAGGAAAGGGAGAGCTCCTGGCTCATCTAACTGGTTGCCAAGCAACCCAGAGAGAGTCCCCAGGGTTAGTGCTCCCCTCCCCCCCAGGAGGTCAGATGCTCATGGTCAGACTCACAGGTCCATAGTCCACCCCTGTCATGTGACCAGGCAGACAGATGGGCATAGCCCTGCACACCAAAGTAACCAGTTGATTCCAGCTCACAGCCACCCTATAGGATAGAGTAGAACTGCCCCACTGGGTTTCCAAGGTTGTAAATCTTTACAGCAGCAAACTATATCTTTTCCCCTCAGAGCCGCTGGTGGGTTCGAACCTCCTATCTTCTGATTAGCAGCCCAGCACTTAATCACTTTGTCACCAGTGATTTCACCTGCACACAGAGCTCCCTGTTCCCACATTAGACAGACCAACATATCCACCGATAAGCAAGGTACCAAGCAGGTAGATACAGCTTCTCACAAACACAGCCACATGACATAAATACCAGATGCACACTCCCACCCATCACACACAGCTGGTCACAACCCTTGGGTACCCACACAGTGATCTCACAGCTCACAGCCCAATCACATGAGTACAGCCAGCCCAGTGTACACACCCTACTGCCAGGACTGCCCTCCCACTCAGTCCCGTCCAGTATGGTGGGAGCAGCCTAGCCTGGGGGTGGTGAGAGGTGGTGGTAGGCTTTAGATCTGTGCTGTGGACCCAGGATGGCCCCACCCCAACACTCTTGCCCACAGCAACACTCCTGGCCCCCGCTGTGACCCAGATGGATGTTAGAATGGTCCCTCAGATAGGATTCTGGTGGGAAAGAATAGGAGAACAATAAAGAGAATTCTGGAGATTCAGAATCAAAATGTAGGCCACTGGGGGATGCTGAAAGAGAAATGGAGACTGAGCAACTCGCGTCTCAGCCCTGATTTTCTGAATAGTTAGTGGCCCCAAACCAAGTAATTGCGAAGGGCAGTGTTTTGAAATGCTTACATAAGGCCTTTTTAAAGAGGCACAGCTCAAGAGAATGGGGGAGCCTCTGAGTCCAGACATTCCTGATTGGAATCTAGATTCTGCTACTGGACCTTATGCTCTGTTTTCCTTTCTGTATATCAGGGAGAATTATCACCTTCCTGGTAGGTGTAAAAGGATTCCAGTGGACAAAGTGCTGTTAAGTGCGGTTGAATCAGTTCTAAAAAAATGCATCAAACATTTATCACAGTGCCGGGCACACAGTCATTAAAGACCTGTAGGTGCCTAGTACCAGGGGTAGAGACCTTTGCTAGGTTGTTAGGTACTGTCGAGTCAGTTGCAACTCATAGCAATCCTGTGTATAACAGAATGAAACACTGCCCAGTCCTGAGCCAACCTCACAATTGTTAGATTTGAGCCCATTGCTGCTGCCACTATGCCAGTTCATCTTTTTGAGGGTCTCCTCTTTTTCACTGACCCTTAGCAAGCAGGATGTCTTTCTCCAGGGACTGGTCCCTCCTGATAACATGTTCAAAGTATGAAAGACCAAGTCTGGCCATCTTGGCTTCTAACGAGCATTCTGGTTGTACTTCTTCCAACACAGATTTGTTTGTTCTTCTGGCAGTTCATGGTATTTTAGTATTCTTTTCCAACACCATAAGTCAAATGCTCAGAATGTCCCCAGTCTCAGTATGGTGGGAGGGAAGGGACAGGATCTTCCAACATGCAGCCCTTTCTGATGAGAGCAAGATTGCCCCTTGGAATACGTCACTAACCTGAATGGGGAGTTGCCACCATTGCCGATGAGGAAGTAAGACATCAGAATGCTAATAAATACACCAAGGTCAAGTAGAACTTTCTTTGAATTATCTTAGTCCTTGACTGTGGACAGACCATCTTCAGAACCAAAATACTGGCTGCTCTTTCTGTCTCACTGTGCGACTTCGGCCAAGACTCTTACCTTCTCTGGACTAGAATTTTGGAGTACTTCATTCTAGATCTGACTGCCCCCTTTCCCTCTGGTTCTCCAGATGGAAGTGCGGTCTTCCGAGGCTGCTTCCGCAGACCCAACAACCTCTCCTTGGCCTTGCCTGTGACAGCCACCATGCTGAACATGTCCGTGGACAAGTGCGTGGACTTCTGCACTGGGAAGGTAAGCACAAGGCCCTGGATGCAGAGGCTGGAGGACCCTAACTCAGAGGGAGGGGTGCTGTGGAGGAACCAGGAGGCTGAGCTGGAGACCCAGTGATGTGTGAAGAGAGAGGGGAGGCAGCTGTTCTTGTGTATTTAAGAGGTGGAAGTTACATGGGGTAGATGTCTCTCCTGTGAGGAAGTATAGTCTGATAGTGAGAGATGGATGGAGGTGTTCATTTGAACTGTATACCTAGAAGCAAGAGTAAATGATCCCTATCACTAAATGAGTTCCCTATCACTCAGGGGAGGCAGGACAGGGTCGGCTTTGTTTCTTTCTCAGTCTGAGACCCTTGACAATTGCCTATGTTTATCCTTCCTCCCTAGCCAGACTGTGAACTCCTCAAGGGTAGGAACTGCGTCTTGGACATCTTTTGCCCCTTCCTGCCCAGTACCTGCAGAACTGGGCATAGAACTGGCATTCAGTGAGGTCTAAGGACTTCCATCCTTCCCTCAAGATGAGCTGAGTACAGTGTCAAGAGTAGGCCCTTTCTCTCCCCTACCACAAGAAGGTGGTTGGGCATGCCAGTCACTCAGTGGACGTTTAATGAGGACCAACTATGCTATGGGTGGGAATCGACTTGATGGCACTTAACAACAACTATGCACCTGGTCTGTGCTTAGTGTTGGGACACAAAGGCAATGATACAAGGTCTCTGTCCCTTCCTCCTGGCTGCCCAACCTGCTCTGGGGCAGACATCCTGGGGCTCCTGACCCAGCAGGCACTTTTAGGAAGATCCCAATGAGGATGGTGGCCACACGGTTTATTTTTCACGCATTGATGAGTTGGGAATTCCAGTCTATTTCACGGATGACAAACCAAGGCCCAGAAAGGATAAGTCACTTGGTCAAGCTAGCAATACCAGCATGTGACAAAGCTCAGATTGATGCCTGGGACTGACTCCAGATCCACACACTCAACTACTTGTGAGCTTCCTGGAGGCCTTACAAGGAGCCCTGGTGGCGTGGTAGGATAAGCACTGGACTGTTAACCACAAGGTCAGCAGTTCAAACCTACCAGCCTCTCATAGGGAGAAAGATGAGGGTTTCTGCTCCCATAATGATTTACAGCCTCAGAAACCCTTTATAGTGTGACCTTGAGTCCCTGGACAGTACAAACAGCATTCTTATTGCTCATAAAATATGAGAGGTTCGAGTCCACTCAGAGCTTCTCAAAAGAAAGTCACCCCTATGGGGCACAGTTCTACTCTGACATACATGGGGTCGTCGTGAATCAGGATCATCATGAGTCAAAGTTGGCTCAACAACGCTGGTTAGTTGTTGTAGACCTGATATTGAGGTTTCCAAGGTCCACTCTGGGTGAGGGCAAGGGGAGGGTGCAGGCTGCTTCAGTCATCAGGCATATTCCAGGTGCATGCGTGGTTCCTAAGGGGCCTTCTGGAAGATGGGGGGCAGCTTGTGAGATCTAAGGAGACTTGGCCATCATTTGGTCCCCTCCCAGGGGATATTCCTGTTTCTGTGGGTCCAAGCAGAGTTCCTCTTTGCCGGGTGAGGTCATGGGTAATCCAGTGTGACAAGAGATCAGACTGTACAGGGGACCAGAGAGAAATGAAAGTATATGGGTGAATTGGAAGAGCAGCCCCAAACCTCCCTCTTCCTGTTCCCTCTGATCTCCTTAGGAGCAGTAGGATAAAGACTGGGAAGGGGATTAAGTGAGCTTGTGCAGAATCCACTAAAGGAGGCTGGTTTCTTAAAGTTGGGGGAAGGTAATAAAGAACCCTACTCCACATTTGGAGTCCTGGCTTGTCCCTGGATTTGGTGACCCTCTGCATCTCCCACTCTGCCCCCAGGAATACCCGCTGGCAGCGCTGGCAGGCACCGCCTGCCACTGCGGCTTCCCCACCACACGCTTCCCCCTCCATGAGCGGGAGGAAGAGCAGCTGTGTGCCCAGAAGTGCAGCGCCGAGGAGTTTGAGAGCTGTGGGACGCCCAGCTACTTCATTGTGTACCAGACGCAGGTGCAAGGTAAGCCCGGCACCTGCTCTGTCCATTTCTGACAGCCCACCTGGCCTAGTGTTGCTGGACTTGACAAGGCTTTACCAACTGGGTCTCCCATTGGTTCCCACACAGACCCACAGTATGATCCTGGGCAAGTCATTTCCTCTTTCTGGACCTCAATTTCTCCATCTGTAAAATGAAGCTGTAGATTGCTGACCTCTAAGGTCCCCTTCCAATTCTAGGGTTCTGTGGTTCTGTCTGTAGAATCGTCTTTTGCCCTCTTGTGTGCTTTTCCCATCTGTGTTCTTCCACCTCTGCTGCTGGAACACATGTCCTTCGTCACCTTCTCTTCCATTTCCTGGGGCTGCTAGTCTCCTGACCACGGTATTTTGGAGGGCAGTAACACTTGGTAGGGGTGGGGGCTTCTTGAGATGGTCATCCCAAAGGATTACCCCAAAACTGGACTATACTGAGGACCTACTTTGTAACAAAGTAGCAGCATTATGCCAAACCCTGTACTCACCCCATCCCGTTGACTAACGTACACAGCAAGCCTTCGGTCGAGGCAGCATCATCCCCATTTTAAAGATGAAAATAAGGAACAGACCACAATTACACGTGGAAGGAAGACACTTGCTTCCAGTTCGTGATGCAAAAGCTCCACTAGACAGACACCTCTGTCCACACTGCAAAGATGCCCTTGAAGCCTAGAAGCCAACAACGCTCCTTTCTCCCAGCAGCGAGGCTGGCATGTATGGGTGAGCAGGTTTCACACGGCAAAGTACAACATATGGGCAAAGTGGGGCTCTGCCTACTACATTGTGCCCCCTGGGATGGCAGTGCACTGCCTGAAGGAGGCTCAGCTTTTTTCTTTGGTTTGCACAAAGGTGCCCCAAGAGCTAGCGGCAGCCCCACCAATGGCCTGATGGGGGAGAGCAGCCGTGGCTGCATCTGTGATGGTTAAAGCCCCCATGAAGAGCCCACCCAGCAGCAGAGTGGTGAAAATGCTCAGCTGCTAACCAGAAGTTCAGAGGTCCAAATCTACCAGCCCCTCCACCAGAGAAAGATGTGGCAGCCTGCTTTGATATTTGGAAACCTACGGAGCTTTTCTCTGCCCCACAGGGTTGCTAGAAGGGCAGTGGGGAAGAGCCCAGTAAGCAGAAGCGTGTTTAACAAGCATGGCCCTAGGCTCTGCTTACACTCCCTTGAGGCAGGGTGAATGTTAGTTTTGGTGGACATGCTTGTTAGTTTGTGCAGCACTGTGTTGCCTCAGCCTGCTGAAAGAGCCCTACACAGATTCATTATCCTGAGACCACGAAAGGCCTTGATGTGGGCAGAGTAGCCACTCAGACAGATAAAAGGACCCTCATTGATTAGTGTGCCTTGTCCCAGTGTCCTGCCCCCAGGCCATACCGCTCTTATATGTTTCCATGTCAGACTTTTTGTCCCTACGCACAGGAAAGGTTGAGAGTCATTTGGTTCATCAGATGTGATTCGTGTGGCTGACTTGAGTAATGAATACTGATGGGGACTAAGAACCGCTGTGTGCTCGGTACTGTCTGAGCCCTTTACCTAACTAACTCACTTAGCCCCCACAACAGTCTGACAGCTGTTATGGTTGTTGTTGTTGTTAAGTGCCGTCAAGTCGATTCCGACCCATAGCGACCCTGTATAGGTTTTCCCAGGAGCAGCTGGTGAATTTGAACCACTGACCTTGCAGTTAAAACTACTTTGCAGTCTGACACATTATCCCACAGCACCACACCAGGACTCACAAATGACATCATTTGACACAGAGAGATTGAGTAACTGGGCCAGAGTCACACAGCTAGGACATGACAGTGTTGAGATTTAAACCAGGCATTCTGGGTCCTGAGACCACACTCTTAACCACAGCTTCTTAACATACATTGCACAATGCATTCCACTCATTATTCCATTTAATCCTGTAAGGTTTATTGCCCCCATTTTACAGGTAAGGAAACCAAGGCTCAGGGAGGTGAAGAGCCATGCTCAAGGTCATACAGCTTGACCATGATAATCTAGGATGGGAACATGGGCCTATCTGACTCCAAAGCTGTCTGCAAGACTCCTTCCAGCATCTGCTATGATTTATGCTTAAGAAACAAATATACTTACTTTCTTTTTAAGCGCTGTAAGAAAAGCCCTTACCTGGGAATTGGTCTTAGCCTCCCAGGCAGTGTTTGAATGAAGATCTCTGTCTTTAGGGAAATTTAAGGGTCTGGGTTCTTTCTCCCTCCCAACATTGTATGAGGAAAAAATTTTGCACTTCCAGAAGAGTTGAAATAATTCAGCAGTGAACCTAGAATTTTACTTTTGTTAGCATTTTGCTACTGCTGCTTAACCACATATCTCTCATTTTCTCTATCCATCCGTCCATTTCCAGGTAAATTGCAGACATCTGTACCCTTCATCCCTCAACACTGCAGTGTGCACATCATTAACTAGAATTCAATCTTGCCTTACAATTCTTGAGAGTGAAATTTACATAGAGTGAGAGGCACGAATTTTAAGTACACTGTTCATTGACAATTGGGTAGTCCACACCTTGCAACACATAAAACATAAGCATCAATCCAAATCAGGCTCCTTTTTGTATTGCATCCCTGTGAACACCATTCCCAAACACCTAACTGGCTCAACACAGACATCTATAGCCCTTAACAGTTCACTCTCCTCTGAACCCCCAGACAAACATGGCAAGGGAAGAGCAGCAGAATGAAGAAGTACAATCTGTTTACACAGCGTTTGAGTCCTGTGCTGACGGGTCACATGAAATCTCTCATTGAACCCTCTGAACAACCTCAGGTCCCTGGATGATGCAAATGGTTTGTGCTGCACTACTAACCAAATAGGAGCACAGTAGCTCTGTAGGATAAGCACCGGACAGCAGTTCAAACCCACCAGCTACTCCGCAGGAGGAAGATGAGGCCTTCTGCTGCCATAAAAGATTTGCAGCCACGGAAACCCTATATAGGGATGCTATGAGTCAGAAATGACTTGAAGGCACACCATAACTAATCTAATGGTTGGTGGTTCAGATCTACCCAGTAGCACCTTGGAAGAAAGGCCTGGGAATCTACTTCAACGGAGCACTTCTGCTTTGTAGTATGTGGGGTCACCGTGACTCAGAATTGACTCAATGGCAATGCCTTTGGGTATTTTGGGTTTTGAACAGCCTCGGGAGGTAAGGTAATTGCTGTTATTAGTCCCACTATAAGGGGAGGAAACTGGGACTCAGATCAATCCTTGTTGAGGTCACCCAGTGAGTATGTGGCAGAATTAGAATTTAAATCTAGGATTTCAAAGGCCATGCTCTTAACCACCAAGCTGTGAGGCTGCATTATAACAAGGGTTGGATTTCGCCTCTGCTGGGAATGTGCATTTCCTCCCCAGAAATACTAAATCAGCATCCAGAGTTTAACAAGATTCCCAGGTGATTCTTATGTATACACTTAAGGATAAGTAGATGTGTATATACATAAGAATCACCTGGAAATCTTGTCAATTTGGGCTTGGTATGTCTGGGGTGAAAATGTGCATTCTCATCAGGGGTCCAAACCCGAGGAGCCTTCCTCCTCATTCCAGCCACCAACAGCTCCAGGTGGGCAGGATACAGTGTCCTCTGCCGCTGCCTCCTCACCTTACACTTCTGATTACAGAGGGTGGATTCTTGAGTAGAAACGCCTGGTGTGCTTTGAAGCCCTTAGCAAACATAAGGGGCCATTATCACTTTCATTGGGCTGATCTCATGCCCTGCCAAGTTCTAACGCTTATTGGCCACTGGATTCTCCCAAATCTGGCACCGCATTGGGTGGCTGGCGTCTTGTTCTATGAAACAGTCAGAGGTGTCTGTTTAGCTGACCACAGGAGATGATGTGCCCCCTAGGAGTAGCTGCTGTTGTTGGTAAGTGCCGTGGAGTCAGTTCCAACTCATAGTGACCCTGCATAGGGTTTCCGAGGCTATCAATCTTTACGGGAGCAGAAAGCCTCATCTTTCTCCTGTGAAATAGTTGATAGTTTTGAACTGCTGACCTTGAGGTTAGCAGCCCGATTCGTAATCATTATGCTACCAGAGGGGTGGCTGCTAGGGTCACCTTATAACGTATCCTCCAAATTGGGGCATCAGGACTGCTTTACACCAGGCTGGCTGCCCCCTCCCCCCCACCTCCAAACTATTGCCCTGAGATAATCTTCAAACCTTAAACCAAAAATATCCCCTGGACTCTTCTTAAAACTAAACAGTTGTTGTTGTTATGTGCCGTGGAGTCGGTTCCAACTCATAGCGACTCTGTACAGGGTTTCCAAGGCTGTAAATCTTTACGGGAGCAGAAAGCCTCATTTTTCTCCCGCAGAACAGCTGGTAGTTTCAAACTGCTGGCCTTGAGGTTGGCAGCCCAACTCAAGAGCTCCTTAAAACTAAACAGTAGTTTCCCTTAACTAACAAAGAATGCCTGCCTTGAGCATTGTGCTCTTTTAAGACCTCCCTAAAATGAGCACTAAGGAGTTCTGGTAGCGTAGTGGTTACGAATCTGTCTGCTAACCTCAGGGTCAGCAGTTTGAAACTACCAGCTGCTCCGTGGGAGAAGGATGAGGCTTTCTGCTCCCGTAAAGATTTATAACCTCGGAAATGCTGTACAAGGTCGCTATGGGTTGGAGCCAACTCCACAGCACATAACTACCACCACCAAAAGGAGCTCTGATAGCGTAGTGGTGACGAGTCGGTTTGCTAACCTCAAAGTCAGTAGTTCGAAACTATCAGTTGTGCCACAGGAGAAAGATGAGGCTTTCTGCTCCCATGAAGACCGCACGCCGCCGCCACCACTACCATATGGGATCAAACTGACAACCGCAACTCAAAAAAAGACTGGATGGAACCTTAGGGAACTGTGAGTTTATATTCATGAAGGAGGAACATTGCGGAAAAAAGAGGGTGAGGATGATTACTCAACTTGAGGAATGTCATCAATATTATTAAATTGTACATGTAGAAATTGCTCAACTAGTGTATGTTCCACTGTGTATGTTAACAACAAAAATAACTTATTTTTGTTGTACCAGATGGACCCAGTTATCCTCATTAATGATGAGGATGTTGCGTTTGATGCTGTTGTGAGCCATACAGGTTAAAATGCTTAGGAACTAACTACCTGGAGCTCAGGAAGAGATCTAGAAATGTGGAAGGTGTCACCCACCAGTACCAAGCCCACTGCCACTGAGTAGATTCGAAAGGCGGTAAATCATTCTACCTCATAGTGACTGGGTTAGGGGTCCAGTGCTTATCCTACAGAGCAACCAGGGCTCCTCGACACCAAGAGGGAACAGTTCAAGTGTGGATTCCAAGAAAGTGTCCTGGGGTGGGGGTGGGGGGCGTGGAGGGAGAGGAGGAAAGGGCTAAGTTTCAAAATTAAGGATTGTCTGAGAGTCTGGAGGCTAGCCAGGAGCCTCACTGGCAGTGATCCAGGAGGTCAGAGGTGACCCATGTCCCCCAAACCATGGACCAAAGAGTTTAAGATGAGCTATATCCCCCAAACTATAAAACAAGGGTTAGAGGTGAAGTATGTCCCCAAAACCACTAAGGAGGGAATTCTGAGTAGGGTGCTATGATTGATGGGACCAGATGCAGGTGGGCAGTCAGGTCATCTGGATTTGATACTGAGGGGGCTGTTGTGACCTAAGCAAAGACAATTCTGTGCAGTGAGTGGGAGGCAGCCAGGGTAGCAGGAGGAACTGGAGCCGGGACCACACATGAGTGTCAGAAACACAGTGGTCTGTGGAGAGGTAGTTATTTTAACAATGGTGCTATTTGTCAGGTGTGAATGTTCACCGCAGCAGAACCAGCTGAGAGGGAGAGGGTGAGAAGGGAGGGGTAGGGTAGGTCCAGACCCATGAGGTCCAGACCGCGGTGTGGGAGGGGTCAGGGAAGGGATGTGACAGACACAGCAGAAGTGCCTGTGAGTTCAGGGGCCACGGAGGTCAGGGCTGCCTGCCTTGCCCTCTCATGGTAAATGAGACTTGGGGTCCTTTGTCCCGTGTGAAGAGGGCAGGGCTGGGGCTCGCTCGGGGTTCTTTCCTCACCCTCTCCTGCTTCAGCGCACCCTGTGCTGGGCCTTCCCTGGGCTTCCTCCTGTCTCTTCACCCTGATGGTAGTGACATCTTGAAGGCTCTGTAAAGACAAAGAATCAAGGATGCCAGAATATCAGAACCTATTTTATAAGCAAGGAAGTCAGAGGCTAGGAAAAAGTAACACCCCTACTTTTCTGAAGTACTTCAGTGTGATCCACTCATCTGTCATCTATCAATCCAGCCAACCACTCAGCCTTCACTGCCACCTACCCACCCAACTCCCCATCCATCCACTCATCCATCCATCCAAGAAACATTTATTGAGTGCCTACTGTGTGCCAGATATTATGGCAAAGAGCCATGGAGCAAGGCTTCTGATTAGACCATGGGCTTCACAGAATTAAAATTGTGATAAGCAATATGAAGGCAAGGGACATGTGCGCCTATGAAAGGTGAGTCAGAGAAGGAAGGAAGGACCAGTCCTCTGAAACGAAATAGTAAGAAGCCATCTACCAGGAGGCGATGATGGCTGGGGAACAGTCTGTGAAGGTGCGGAGTCTAGAAGAAACAGCAGAAAAGGAGGTGAAGGGGGACCAGGTAGCTGGTAGGTTTGAGTGGGCAGAGAGAGTGGAGCTAGGTCTGCAGACATGCAGGGTCAGGCCACAGAGCGTGGGGGCTAAGGTGAGAACCTTGAGTGTGATGCTGTGTAAATGGGACTCATTGAAGATTTTCAGCTGGAGCAGAGGACCAGAGAGGCTGGTGAGGAGTCCTCATTCTAGCTAATGTTTATGGAGCCCCCTCTATGTTCTGGCTCAGTTGTAGAGTCTGCACCTTCTGTGCAGGACACCTGGAGTTAATCCCGGCCAGTGCTCCTCGTGTTGCTATGATGCTGAACAATTTTCTGTGGAGTTTCCAGGCTAAGGTGAGCTAAAAAGAGAGAAGCCTGGTAAAATCAGGTTGATAAAAACCCAGTAGATCCCAAGGATCTCATCTGAAACTGACTGTGGGGACGGTGCAGGACTGGGTAGCGTTTGGTCCTACTGTGCATCGGGTCACTACAAGTTCAGGGCTGACAACCATGACCATGACAACCATGACCACTACCATATGCTGATAAGCACGATGATCAGCACTTTCCATATATGATCTCATTTAACCCTCACATTACCTCTGTGGGGGAGAGGAAGCATTGGCCCATCTTACAGATGGATAAATTGAGGCCCAGAGGTGGTTTTTCAGCATGTGCCTGGGTCATACCACAGGGAAGTGGCAGGCTGGACCAGCTCCATCTGCCCTTGCCACTGACCCCGTCCATTCCTTGCCCTTTACAGACAATCGCTGCATGGACAGAAGGTTCCTCCCAGCCAAGTCCAAGCAGCTCATTGCTTTGGCCAGCTTCCCGGGGGCCGGCAACACCTGGGCTCGCCATCTCATCGAACTGGCCACCGGCTTCTACACTGGCAGCTACTACTTTGACGGCTCTCTCTACAACAAAGGTGAAAAGGCGGGCAGGGGAGAGCTGGGGAAGGTCCCCGTGGGGAGAGTAGTAGGGGAAGCAGCCTTCTCTGAGCACCTACTGTGTGTCACATCACTCACCCAGCCACATTAAGAAACCAGTAACGTTTCTTAAGCATGGGGTCCTGGGCACCATGCCAAGCATCAGTTCAGTAGTCAACACTTAGTAATCACCTGCTTGTACCCAGAACCTCCACTCCGTTAAGATCACCGCAACTCTTCCTGGAGCACCTACTGTGTGCTGAGTACTTCCCCACAGATGTTTACTCAGTAAGCAGGGCCAGGCACACTAGCTTTGTTCAGTTCAGAGCATTTATTGAATACCTACTATTATCCATGGACTCCTGGTGTGGCGATGTAGGATCAACACTGGACTGTGAGTCCCAAGGTCAGTAGTTCAAATCCACTAGCCACTCCTCGGAAGCCCTATACAAGGTTGCTATGAGTCAGAACCAACTTGAAGGCACTTAACAACAACTATTCTCCAGGTGTCTCATCTACATTTTCTACAATGGTACTTGTTGCTGTAAGCATGCAGAAGTCTCAGCATGGGAGCCTTGTATATGACAGGCGCTCAGTAAATGTTAGTTTAAACAAAATTTAGAAATTAACAATTATATAAAAAGCTAGGATTCCAAGGCAGTCACCTTGGCCCCTACCCCCTTGTCAACTCCAACCTATTAATGTTTCCTGTGTGCCTACTACCAGGTGTCTTATCTGCATTTAAGCCAATGAGCTGTGTCCTGGCTGCTTTAGTTCCATTCCATTCACAGATGTTTAATGGGCACCACTATGTCTGGATGCGCTTCGTATGACTGGGCTCCCAGTAAGCATAATGCAGCATCCCACCTCATGTAGGTCCAGATTGCCACAGGTGTTGTGTGTGCCAGGTGTTGCGTTCTTACCTAACCCCCACAGTAATCCTGGGTAGTGATGCGGTTTCCCTGATAGGAGACTTGGCAGGTGGCCAACGTCACACAGAGTTTTTTCTTTGTTAATTGTAATTTGAGTGAAAGTTTACAGAGCACATTTGTTTGCCATTCGGCAGTGTAGACACACGCTGTTTCATGACACTGTTTGCCCACCCCTCGATTTTACAGCACTCCTTTTTCTACCCTGGGCTCCCTGTTTCCATTCACCCCTTTCCTGCCTCTTCCTGTCTTCTGAGCTATGTTTGGGGGTAAATGCCCTGTTGGTCTCATGTGGTGATATTGAAGAGTACATTCCTCCCTGGCGGTATCATTAGATCTGTCTGTTGTGTGGCTAAAAGTTGATCTCTGGAAGTGGGTTCAGTTCCAGGCTTGAAGGGAATACAAATTTCTTTTCTTTAATGGGTTGATTTGGGATTGCCCCCTAGTGTTGCCAGATTTCAAAGTCCACCCTTCTTTGACTCTATCATACAGGTAGGAATTCTAGAATTTCTTACTTGGGAACTGGAACTCCAGAGTGGGAAGCCTGCCCTTAGGGACGCAGCTGGAAGGGGCTCTGCCGGTGAGGGGCTTTGAGTCTACATAAGGAGCAGGCCTTGGTCATGGGTCTCTTGTGTCTGCAAATCAGCCAAGGCTGTGTGACCTTAGGCAAGTTGCTGTACCTCTCTGAGTCCGTGTTGTCATGCACAAGAGATAATATAGCATGTGCCTCATGAGGTTGCTGTAAAGGTCAGTGAATTGAAATATGTAACATGTTTGGCACATGCTAAGTATACAATAAACATGGTTATGAGCACCATGACCTGGCTGCCAGGCATGGACTGGGCACCACTGGTGTTGACAGAGTCATCCCTGAGCCCCAGCTTCAGGAGAGCCACAGGGGTAGGTCTTTCTGTGAGTGTGAAGCAGAAGAGAGGCAGAGATAGGGAGACAAGACAAGAGGGATGAAGACAGGTTATAGTTGGCAAGGTGATAGGTACCAGGGCATCTGTCTTGGAATCCCAGCTTTTATATATTTGCTAACTCAATTTTGGTTAAAATAAAGGTGTGGTTATGTAGGATAAGCACTAGACTGCTAACCACAGGTCAGTGGTTCAAACTCAGCAGCCGCTCTTTGGGAACCCTATGTTGCTTTGTTGTTAAGTGCTGTTGAGTTAGCTCCTACTCATAGCAACTCTGGGTAGGGTTTCTGAAGAGTGGCTGGTGAGTTTGAACCACCAGTCTTGCAATTCAAACTGATCCTGCCATCCAGGGCTTTGTCCTACAGTACCACACCAAGACTTAGAAACCGTATACAAGGTTGCTATTATTTGGAACCGACTTGACAGCAACAGCAACAATTTGGTTTAAGCTACTATTGGTTGCCTGCCTGTTATGCTGAAAGGTTTGCCTGCTTATAAGAGGATTTAAACACAGGTCTGCTTGTTGGTAGTACCTATATCCAGCTGCCATGCCTTTATGGGAATTGCTAGGAAGATTGAAACACATTCTGGATTTGTTCTTGAGCCATGGCTGAAGGAAGTCAACTTGGAAAACATTCCTCTTTATAGGCCCGCATTTCTAAACTTCCTAGCTGTTGCAACAACCCTGTTTGTAAAATCCCAGAACTAGACGGGTTTTTCAGGATCATTAAGTTCATGGATCCACCAACCCCTGCCTAGAATGATGTGTTTAGGAGGATTCTGAGGTTCTGTTCTCCCTTAAAAGCAAAATGTCTAATCTAATATCGATGCTGGTTGCAAGTGTAAAGGGGGAAAGCGGCCTACACAACAGATACTTTCAGTCTTTCATCTAGCCTGACTTCCTAATTTCTAAGAAAAGAAAACAATCTCAAGATGGGGTCAAGAGACCTAAGTTTAAGTCTGAACACGGTCACTGAGGGACTTTAGGTAAGATTCTTCACCTCTGTGCTTTAATTTCCTCATTTATATACCATGGGAAAACTATA